AAGGGCGAACAAGTTTAAGAAGCTAACCTGACTAGAAAAGCTACGACTACTACTTTGCTTTGTTCGAGTTGATATACTAGCTAGCATTATAACATAACTACTGTGCGAGATAATCATGCTAGTTTTGAGAGAAGCTCCTATGTTTGCGAACCCTACAAGCATAAGGTGCTACAGTACTTTGTTTGATAGATGAATACATTCATCGATAGAATGCATTCGTAAGCTTGCTCATTGAGATAGAGAATGTACAACTAAATGGACGAGCATGACAAGCTAACGTTGCTGCGACTTTGTCCTAATAGATGTCATATAGTAGTAACTCGTGTTGTAAGCTAACTAGAATTTTGGATAATATGACTCGTACAGAGAGAGTTGTTTGAGAACGCCGCTACTTTTGTTCTATGGATCGAGAGAATTGTAAATTCATGGGTGAATACATGATATAGCCTGATAAGTTAGCTAGCTCGTTGTAATGTATAAATAAACCCAAAGGTAAACGATAGCGCTTCCAAGCTAACTCGTTAGACAAGTAATTCTCTGATCCACATTTAAAATATCACATGTAAGGCTAACTTGCTGATTTTGGTGACAATTTGGCGGTGAGCAAAAAAATTGCTTTGCCAAATTTTTTAGTGTTGATCATGGATTAGGGTAGAAGCCATGAAATTTTTTCTTTTTTTTTAATGGTTTGTTGTAATTTGATGATTAGGATTGACCGCTGAAAGAAATAATTAAGTATTACATTGCCATGGTTGAAAAGATGCTTATGTAACAAAGTTTCCAAGGCTTTCACTCACACGGATGGGTAAATGTCAACTGCTATTCAGCCACACTGTCATAACGCTATTGTCACTTGCCTTAAATACCCGCGGCCTTCAGGGAAAACATGTAAGAGAAGAACATCTATTCATCAGTTGCTGCCTAGAACACGTTGCAAAAAAAAGAGGAAAAAAAAAAAAGACCTTTTGTGTACCGTTTGTTCAATAGGACTCAAAGAAGCACATTGGAGCTTGGGTCACCGGTTTTGTCATTGCAGCACTTGGGCTTCTTCTGGGTTAAGTTGTCGCAGGAATTTGTGTCCTTTTCAATGAGGCATCGACTGAGTTCTGAAAGTGATTTGTCCTCATTTTTGACGCTTATTGATCTGACACGGTAAAACCCACCAATTGGAATGCTCCCGGCCAGAACATAATGTTCTTGGCTTTAAAAAAAAAAAAAAAAAAACCCTCTTGAATTGCGGGGTGAAAAAAATATATAATTTTTTTTTCTGACAGCATAGACAATGTTGTTTTGTCCTTGAAAGCCAGGTGAACACCGTGTTTTTTGCTATGCATTTATTATTTATCAGCATGTTGATTAGCCTTCAGACCCGACTAGTTGGCGTCTACTAGCATTTTAGAGCCGCAAGAGTGTGTTTGAGGACAAAGGATGTGTCCCCTTTTGTCTGGAGCAGATTCGCCTTTAGGGCTCAGCCAGGTAAAAATATAAAACATGACAGGCTGTCACATGATAACGGGCCCGAATTTGACTTTCTCCCCGTCTTTGCAGCACATTCAAAGACACTTTGTCCTTTCATTCAGTGCATTCAAATCAGAAATTTGCTGTAGCCCTTTTGACACCATAATTCTCTTTTATTTCACATCGTCGGGTTTTTTTTTTCTTCTTCTTTTTAAATCCCGAAGTCAAAGGTATTTAGGAACTTGTCTTATGCGATAAGGTAAAAGCAAGTGATGCTTTTAGCTCACAATGTTGGGGATTCAAGAGGTTTCGAGTGGCAAAAGTTTTCAAAAGGTCAAATGAGGCTCACCTGTAATGGTCACAGTGCATTTTAGGTTGATTTAGAAAATTCTACCCAAAAGCCAAATATAATATTAGAATAGTAGTATTTCCAAACCGCCATACCTCCAGACCTGCTCGGAAGTGGTAAATATATATTGTGAATAAACGATGAAGGAAGCTGTGCCATCACTTAGCTTCAGAAGCCACAAATATGCGTCAATGTTTCGTTCGCAGCAGCAGGCAGTTAAAAAAAAAAAAAAGAAAGAAACAAATAAAGTCTGTGTCATTTGATTGAGGCGTCCTCACTTATGCCCGCTCTGAGTTGGCAAAGCGGTTGGCGGGAGGCAAATAAGAGCGAAGTACCTTGAATATAATCAGACGTTAACACAGGGATGACGGAACAAGTGCCACTTGGCTTTGTATTTTTAGCGGGATTGTCTTCTTTGTGGGGACAGCGCACATTGATTTCTCTCCGTACAAAAAAACCCGAAAAAAAAAAAACAAATCAGAGAGAGCCTGTTTAAAACAATGCATTCACCGCTTTTGTTATTCCTTTGAGTATCTCATCAACACAAGGATTCATGTGCCACTCGATGGCTGATTACAAAGTCTCACTGTACACATCGAGAGAAAAAAAACATCAAATGCGTTAACATAATTTCATTTATGGCTGCGGTGTTTTACATCATCGTAGCAGAAACATTTTCGCGAGCCACTTCATCATTGCAATTCATGTACAGTTGCTTGCAAAGAAGAGTTGAAAATGAATAATACCGAAGCCACATGTGCTTCACTGTGCCTTTTTTTTAATCTGCGCACATACCGCAGCCTGTCGTGGAAAATTTCCACTATTCTCATGTCCGTCCGACTTGCTACAGAAAAAAAATTAATGTAAAGAAATTCGGAAAATAACAATTAAAAATACCTCAAAGATAGCAAATAGCGAAATCAATTCCAAATTTTAAATGTAAACTCTTTCAACTAAAGCAACTGACAATTTAAACTATTTATTTACATCAAGTTGAATTAATTACTAATTCATTTTAATTAAAAAAAAATCTTAGATTTTTTACAATTAGAAGACAATTGCCAATTTCAAATTCAAACAAAAACTTGTAACTCAATGAAAAATGCATTCGAAAAGAAAAAAAAAAATACATGCCTGCCATTCCAACTTTATTCTGAAATGAAACGATCAGAATTAAAAACCGGAAAATCCATTTCAAAATGAAAACAGATATTCCCTTCAAGTGACGCCTTTAAAATTAGGGGGAAGGAAACTTTTTCAACATTTTTTTCCTTTTTCATCAGACCTTTCCTCAATGTTGAATCACCGCTTTGGCCTGTTTTAAAAAGCGAGAAGTCAAGTCAGGTTGTCAATGTGTGATTACAGCTTTTAGCACTTGCCCCTAATTTGCTGAGAAAAAAAAAAAAAAGAAAACTCATTTCAAGCCTCCTAACTCTCGACGGGTAATTAGCGCTGCGCTCATGCACTCACTTATCTTCTCGAGTGCTCCTCAGAGACGGACGTCCAGGTCCAGGATTCCCATTCAGCGGCTGACGACTCGCCCAATTAGCCGCGGCTCCCGCTCGCGGCTATCGACCGCCCTCGTCCTCGCGCAGCCCGACATGCGCGAGAAGATTGCGCCGGTGACATTTGACTTACTTACCGGCCGTCGCAGCCGCGCTTGTCCTTTTACTTCAGACGGCTCGCCGTCGTCGCCATCGCAGCCGCCGGCCCTTTAGGTTTCCGTGGCAACAGACGGAAAGGAGCTATTCTCGGGGTCGAGTCATTCATTTGATTTGGCGGAGATTAATAAAGTATAAAGTCCACAGGGGTGGAAAAGGAGGGGGAGGGCGACCTGCTAGGTGATTTGACGTCCTTAGAAAGCACGTTTGCAAACTTTTGTTTGCCGCCGCGCTTCTTGCTTTGACCTTTGGTCATGAATCAAATGTTCGGAGTGACTCCTGCTAGGATGTCAGACTCAAACCGAACAAATCCTGTAAACATGAGCCTCTTTCACAGGGAGATGTGTCAAATTGTTTCAATGGGGAGAAGTCAGCGTCGGCTGTTTAACGTCACGCTTCCATCTTGGCCACCCTTGACTGATACTCCTGGGATAGTACCTCCCAAAACCAGGAAATTGCCACATAACCCAATGTACCCAAACCCAGCGCAGTGCAGATACCAAAACCCAATCCAGCGCATCGTAAATAAACTCAATGCCACGCCAGGTCCCAAATTTCAGCACAATTTAGCAACCCAACGTATCCAAACCTAATGCAGTGCAACCCAACATACAACCCCCCCTCCCCTAAAAAAATGCCCAAGCACGCAATAGTATGGAAATCGAATGAGCGCCATTTGTTTTCTTTTTGCAATCGTCGGTTCTGCCGCAGCCGCGAGAAAATTGCCAGTCCATCTATTTGGTCAGACTTCACATCAATCTCCATTCATTTCCATCTCCTGCCTTGAGCTTGTCCGGGGCGCATTCTGCTCACGTCATGTCGCTGGGCAAAGAAATCGGGCGCTGCAACCTGCACCCCAATGGGTGCTTTTCGGTGGAATTGGGGTATTGTCTACGCCACTGTATCCACATTTGACTATTTTTGTGCAGATCCAGCCAATTTCTCTGCATAGTGTTTTGTTTTTGGGGGTTTTTTTTTGGGCAATTTTATGAATGATACATGAAGCCTAGAGTCTGAATTTCACTATCCGTGCCGAGAATGGTCGTCTCACTGAAGCTGCTGACGGAATTGGGATTGTTTGTGTTGTGAGGATTGTTGATAGGTTCATTTTGTCATTTTGGATTGAGTGTGTGTTTATTTGAGTGAGTGTGTGTGAGTGTGTGTGTGTGTGTGTGTGTGTGTGTGCCACTGAAACCACGGACTCTTCAGTTCCACTCCAGTGACGTTTTTCCGTTAGTAAAGTGCCCTCAAATAGCACATTGTGAAGGTAATTTCCCTCGTGGATAAGACTCACCTCTGCACACACACACACACACACACACACACACACACACACACACACACACACACACACACGCGCTCCCTCTATACATACGCGCTGTGTACATACATCTACTGATGCCTATCTGGACACATCATCAGTGATGTATTCCTGAGATCATAGGGCGTTTCGGGTCTCTCAACATCATACGCCCTCCCCCAGGTGACCCAACCAGGGCTGATCAGACCCCAGCTTGTGTCCAGATGGCTAACTAGCTACCATGACTCCATGGCTCCCCTCTTTTGAGCCACAGCCATCTTGAGGCTCTCTCAGCCGCATCAGTGATACTGCGTATGGCTCTCCTCTTTCTCTCTCCCTCGATGCCGAAACTGCTGAAGGCTCTGGCCAAGGAACGGGCTGCAAATCCTCTGCATCCAACTTCCACGGGGAAACACCTTGCTCTCCAACCAGCCTGCTGACAATTGCTGACCAGTCCTGCGTACTTGGAGAGTTTCCTCTCAAAGGCCTCTTCCAAGCGATCTTCCCACGGAACTGTCAGCTCCAGCAGGACAGCTTGCTTGGTGGACTCAGACACAAGGACAATGTCTGGTCGCAGAGTGGTGACTGCAATATGGCTGGGGGACTTCAGCTGATGTTCAAGGTCCACCAACACCTGCCAGTCTCTTGCAGACGTCAGAATGCCTGCAGAGGATGTTCTTCTGGCAGGAGTTGCCGTGTCCCCAGCTCTGACAAAGGCAATGGTTTTCTTGGAGGGTCGGAACTGCTTTGCCCACTCAAGTCCTGTGCTGATGGCTTCAGCGATGGTCTTAAGGACTTGGTCATGCCTCCACCTGTACCGTCCATCTCCAAGTGCCCTTGTACAGCAACTGAGGATGTGTTCCAGGGTTCCTCGCTTGGAACACAATGGGCATGCTGGTGTCTCTGCTATGCCCCATGTGTACAGGTTTGACGGGCTTGGCAGCACATCATACACTGCCCGGATAAGGAATTTTATGCGTTGAGGCTCGGCTTTCCAGAGCTCAGCCCAGGTCACTTTCCTCTCAACCGCATTCTCCCATCTCGTCCAAGCTCCCTGTTGCTTCATTCCCACTGCCTTGCAGGTTCTCGTCTCCTCCACTGCTGCTCTCACCTCCTCCTGAACAAGATGTCGCCCTTCCTTCCCCTTGGTGTTCATTTGGGGGGTTGGAAAAGATCCTAGCCCAGCTCGACCTCGTGTGACCACTCCCACCAGGCTCCTGTGACGCAGCCTTGCATCTGCCTCTTGAACTGCTTCCTCTGCCTTCCAATTCCTGCCAGTCCTCACTTGGATCCCTGCTTTAGCCACCATCGGATCACTTGAGTCCCTGTACTGAACCACTTCTCTGGCTCTCGATACCTTGAATTCCTCCTCCAAGGACTTGAAGGGCAGTTGCAGTTTGTTGGTGTTCCCGTAGAGTGCAATGCTGCTCAGGCTCCTTGGTAGCCCCAGCCATCTCCGGAGGTGGTTGCTGACTCTCCTCTCTAAGGTCTCAACTGTAGAGATAGGGACCGCGTAGACAAGGAGGGGCCACAGGATCCTGGGGAGAATGCCATGTTGGTAAACCCATGCTTTAAACTTCCCAGGTAGGCCGGACTTGTCCACGGATTTCAGCCAGCCATCCAACTCAGTACATGCTGACTGGATAGATGTTGTGTCTCTCAGAGAGCAGTCAAAGACCTTTCCCAGGCTCTTGACTGGCTTTTCTGTGATAGTTGGAATGGCTGTGCCTGAGATGTTAAACTGGAACTTGTCTTCTACCTTCCCTTTCCTCAGCACCATTGATCTGGATTTGGCGGGTTTGAAACGCATCCGGGCCCACTCCACCAGCTTTTCGAGTCCCTTCAGAATCCACCGGCAGCCTGGGACTGATTCTGTCGTGACTGTGAGGTCGCTAACATGCTTTTGCGCTTTATTTGTCTTTGTGCTGAACAAACGCCGCCCTCCTCCATCAGCATCACCCACCTGCTGTGTCTGGCAACTTTCTTGTGTCACGATGATGAAGGGCACCTGCTGTTCGCGGCCCGATACCGCCGTCATCTGCTCCCGCCCCCTCCCTCCACATTACTGACATCCTGCCTGCATTATTCACAAAAGCGCGCCGCTAAACTCAAGTCACTTCACAGTCGAATTTGGGTGATGCCAAGGCGAGTCACCGCGTGTCACCTTTAAGGGCTTTTGCAGCAAAATAATGAGCCATTTCTCCATCCTCCTGCGGTTTCACGCCAGGTCGACATGTAACCATGGCTAATGTGTTTTTTGCTCCTATTTGATGAGATTCTCAGCGGGCGACGCTCTCAAGATAGACACACGCGACTCTCCCTCCTTTGAGAGATTGTCAGGCACCGGCACTCGGGCGGAATCGAGCATCTAAAATGTCGTACTAAAACATCATGCAAGACAATGCAATATTGCAACGCAAGACTGTAGTGTATCATAACATAACCCAACACTATGCAACTAAAAATACCTTGGTGCGAATGAAGTAACACAACTTAGCAGAGCACAATATGACATGCCTCAACATCATACAACCCAGTGTAATGTTGGGCCAAGGTACCCCAACGCGATGTGACCTAACCTATCACTCAGTTCAATGTAACTCACCACCATGTAGCCCAGCGTGTCATAACCCAGCACCCTACGTAAGGTAACCCAGCATACCGCAACAGAACTCGACGTAATGCGACTCAGCGCAGTATTAGTCAATGCAGTGCGACCCAACACAGTGCAATTTAAGGCAGCATAACCCAACATCACCAACGCGGCATAACCTGCAAAACAAAAGGCAACCCCAACTCAGTTCAGTGTAACCCAATGCGACGTAACCCAACACAAAGTAAGACGATGCCAACGTACCCCAATATAGCTTTACCAGATATAACATCATGCCGCGTAGCCCAACGTAGCACGACGCGACCAAATTCAAGATAACCCAACATACCTCGCCACCTCTTAACCAGCCGTAATATAACCCAACATCACTCCGTGCAACATAAACCGGCATACTGCCACTCAACGTACCGCAACCCAACACTGTATTATTGCAATATCCAATTCTGCAACACGACATACTGCGTACTTCAAAACAACAGACAACAATGTACTAGATCAAAAGGTAACAGTTGAGCAATTATAAATGATCGTGTTGTTAACTCATTCACTCCCAAAGACGTTTTTAAACGTCTTTTCAGACTTGGTCCAGAATTGGCTGGTACTGAATGAGTTTTAATACACTCACTGAGGGACTGGCTAATTCATCCAGGAGATTGCAGTCAATAACTTACCACATATTTGGTGATGGTAGATTTAGCATTGAGGCTAGCATGCTATCAACATTTGTGAATCATCGCCGTCTAACTTTGAGCGGTTGTTTGTTGACTGATACCGTTTGACTTCCCATCTCTTCCTGTATGCCGGATGCTCTGTTTTCCGTTATCTGACTTTTCACTTTTTCGTATTCGTGGCACAGGCGTGCCGTATTGACGTTGAAAAGGATAACCCACCGGAGTCTCCTCCCGAATCTCATCGGATTGTGTGCCTAAGGAAACGTCCCCTGAATATTGAACGACGTGTGAATGAACGGGCGTCCGTGTGCGGTGCATCATTTCGTCTTTCGTTCCCCGGTTGCGTCCGAGCTGCTCCGGACGTTTCCCGTAAGCTTTTCTGACGCTCCTCAGTCAGCAAGGAGCGCCAGATGAGCCGGTCGGCGCGTGACATGAAATGAAAGAATCAATCTGCTGCACGCCGAGTCAGGAGGCAAGAAATGCGTTGATCAGATTCACGGGCTTGTCATTTGACTTAATCGCGGCTGACAGAGGCGGCAGCGTCATGACTTATTCAGGGATGAACGACTTACTCTAGCACGTTCCATCCAGTGGAATTACCTCTGCCAAGTCTGGATAAATATATTATATTCGCCCGACCCCGCTGCCCATTCTTGAATTCAAACGGTAGAATCCTGACTGTGTTGCTAATGTTCCCAAAAACAAAAAAGGTAAATCGTAAAAGATTCTTTTAGCCTCAAAGATAATTTTTTTCCCTCCTAGCAAAGTGGAAGCTTTTCACCCGGGAGTGACTGTGCGATCGAGAGACATATTTTCATTTCCTCAAAGTGATGTTATACAATCGTCTCCTATTTCACAACAGCGACAGTGCGAGAACAGGCGCGAAGGAAGACTTCCCCTCCGTGTGTTGTCAAAAGTTTAAATGTGTTTAAAGCACGCGGGAGGTGTGAAACTGTACCCAGTTTGTTCATGCGGTCTCTCTATATCGCGAATTTTCCCAAGCATGCCGGTGGGCCCAAACCCACCACCACCACTCGCGGGATAAACGGTCAGTTGAATGTCGTGCCGAACGTTATGTAACGCTGAGAACACAACGGTGCGCGCCTCAAACCAAGGAGACGCTTCGTTTCCTTGAAGAATGTCTCATTTCGACTCCAAAAAGTTCCGCGCTCGCCAAGTGCTCTCGGGGGAAACTTGAGGATGTAGCTAGGCGGAGAAGGAGGAGGAGGTGAGCGCACACGTCATGTCACTTCAACGAAACGAGACTAAGTGTATTGCACTTTTAAACACCCCTACGTGTGTGTGTGTGTGTGTGTTGTGTGTGTGTGTGTGTGTGTGTGTGTGTGTGTGTGTGTGTGTGTGTGTGTGTGTGTGTGTTTTATTACCCTGCCATTTCCCCCCTGCACACATTTATCCTGCCTCACCATGCTTTACAGCTGCTGTCACTTCCTACCGGGACCAAATCGGAACATTACAACCCAAAAGTCCTCCATCTCTCAATAACACACACACACACACACACACACACACACGCACACACACACACACACACACACACACACTAGCGATAAGGCCAGATGTGGTACAGTGAGATTGCGTCAAAAGCAATGCTGAGTCATGCATCATCGTCGCTGAATCGATTGAAAATGTCTATCTGGTTTATTCCCGGAAGCGGTTGCACACAGCAGACAGACGCACAGAATGCAGGACTCAAGGTGGCCGTGATGAGAAACCAAAGACAATTCCCACTATGTATATTAAGGCGAAAATCCGATCGCTTGAATGCTAAAGCTAACGTCCGGAACGGATTAACGGCATTTCCATTCATTTCAATGGGGAAAAAATGTTTTGAGATACAAAAAGTGTGAGTTACGAGCGTGGTCTCAGAACAAATTCAACTCACAAGTCAAGGCAGCGCTGTATTTCAATCGACGACGTCTTTATATAGATTAGGCCGAGCCATTTGTGAGGTCAGAGTATATCGTCACGTTTCCCCAGCCGTTCCAGACACACGGATGATTTGTAAACTCATTAAATGACTAATGAGCGTAGCATATGGCATGGGCATGCTGTTAGCACCTCGCGCTGTCTTCTGCGAAACGAGCAGCTGCCCGGGCTGGGACCTTTGCCACCAGCAGCCTTCAAAACTGTCACTTTGACACTTTGCTGCCCTCTACAGCGTTGCTTTGTCTTTCATTGGCGATACAGATGCTGTATTGCGGTTCACCTTTCACGAATTCGCTCGAGAACAGATTACACAACACAATCCGAAACAATCAATAGGGAGCTCAGAACCTGCTTCGGGTCTCTTAAAGCGTCGTAGGGTAAATGACGTCTTCAAGGCAGTCCTCTCAAAAAAGGATAACTAACAAGAGGCGCGTATAATAGTAAGATCCTTTTCAACCATTTCCGCTATTAAATGTTCACCGTCGCTGTATGAATAAGAACTTCCCGATCCTGAAGGAGACTTAAGTCGACATCAGAGCGAGCGCAGATAAGAGGCGAAGGATGAGGGCGCTGACGGCCCGGAGAAGCTGTCGGCGCCATCAAAGGTCATCTTTTGGTGGCAGATTAGCGCAAGCGGCCCGGCAGATACGGCTCGGCAGATCATTTTTATGACTACGCAAATGCCGTTGACATCCGTTTGGCTTTGACACCTGCAGACTGCCGGCTCGAACCTGACATCAAATGTGGGCTTTCCAATCCGTAAGTGGGTGGAAATTGCAAGAATTACGTGTCCTGACGTGACAATATCATGAGCATTGAACATACTTAAAAAAAAAAAAAAAAAGCACAGACTCGTTTCTGTGACCAGAAAGTTTTGAGCCCTCCCCCATTGGCTGGTAAGATATGAACGCCATTGACCTCATTTGCATAAAACTGTAGCATCAAAGCAGCATTGGGAGCGCCGAGAAGGTATTCTGATGTTAGTCACCGGGGACACGTAGTTTGACGCCCGGCCTCCATAATGCAATAATGCATCGCGGTGACAAACGGCCTCTTGCACTTTTTATATTAGCTCACGCATGCGACTTTGCCCGCGACCTTGATATTTACGGCTGAAGACTGATGCTCAGGAGCGTTCGGACCTCTCCAAATGGAAGCCGTTAACGCGCCCGGGCTTTATTTTTTAACCGATAATGCCCCTCGGCCAGGACTTATAACGTGAGCGCTCATTAACTTAGTAGCAAGTAGAGGTCACACCAATCGGCTCGCGACGCCACAGCCACACGACGTCCGGAAAGGAAGTGCGAAGCGCCAGGAGATAAATCAAGACTAAGTTTGTAGCTGGATCGATTGTTTTCTTTTTTTTTTTCTTCATTTGAGCTCAGCAACATTTTGCAGCAAATTGAAAGAGCAACCTTATCTCCTCTTCCTTGTAATAGGCCTCATTCAACAACCGGGACATGATATTTTTTTTTTCCCCCTTTTTTTCTATTGTCGCGTCACTAAGAGTTCACGAGCAAAGAACTGACAAGCATATTCCGAAAATGAAAATGGCATTTTTGCGGTTCTGAAAAATGTGCCTCAGTCACCCACCCGGAAAGTTAAAGGAGCTAATCAATTAACACGAAATTGGGTAGACTCGCATCATCACAGAATGCATGCAAAAGTCTCAAGGCAAGGCTCCGCCCATTTTTTTTTTTTTCAAATCAATAACTTAATTTGAGAAGCAACTTTATAATTTTGTAGAGAATTATTATTATTTTTTTTAACGATACCATAAAAATATGAGCCATTGGCTAAAAATCC